TGCCCGGGCACTTGGCAGGGGCACAGGACTTTTCTCCCTCCATACTCAGGTTTCCTTGCCAAGACCGTACCTTTGCTGTGTGGGCCTCCCCGGGGCCAGCCCCAATTGCTGGTACCAGCTGCTGTTAAGGAGTGTATCTCTCCGGTCCGCAGGCGGAAACCGGTGTGGTGGTGCTGGGGCTTTCCGTTTCTCCCTGCTTTTGCACACCTGGCTTCGCCAAGCCTGCACAGCTGCAGAGGACATGGCAGAACAGAGGTACTGCGTAGACTATGCCAAGCGTGGCACGGCAGGCTGCAAGAAGTGCAAGGAGAAGATCGTGAAAGGAATGGTGCGCATTGGAAAGATTGTTCCCAATCCCTTCACGGAGTCTGGCGGGGACATGAAGGAGTGGTACCATGTGAAGTGCATGTTTGAGAAGCTAGACAAGGCCCGGGCCACCACCAAGAAAATCGAAGACATCACAGACTTGGAAGGGTGGGAAGAGCTACAAGATGGGGAGAAGGAATTAATCAACAAGCACATCTCGGGTGAGACGCAAGGCAGCACCTGGGTTGCTTTTCTGCTTTAGTCATTTTCAGGGTATGCCACTGACTGCCACAGAGCTGTGCCTTTATGACAAAATTCTCACTGAGGTATTAGTACAACCTGGTGACAAAGTGGGTAGCGCTGCTCAAATCTGTGTTTCAGCCCTATAGGAGAGGGAAGAAGTAGTTGATTCTACAGTGGCACTTCTTAATTCATTTGTCACAACTGACTGTGGAGAAGGGCTAGGTGATTTAATTCATGTGCAGATAAATCCCAGGAGGAAGCGTCACTTATTTTCCATTTTCAGCTTTTTTTCATGATCTTTAGTAAATTATGTAATCTTTTAACTTTTGCTATCTGAAAAATATTCCTTCATGTTTTTTTCTCCTCTATACCCAGTTCTTGTAAGACTTGTTTGTTGCAGTATATCCTACGTAATATGTTGAGTGGTGTATGAGATTATTTCTAACTGCTGGTTTGAACCTTGCTTTTTTACAGAAGCTAATTCCAAGGCTGCAGGTACACCGAAGAAAAAAGTGATAGTCCAAGCTAAGCTCACTGCCACAGGACAAATAACCACAAAAGATCCATTGGCTCTCATCAGTCCATCACCGAAGAAGTTCTCTGGCTTCACAGGTAGGACTTAAACTGATTCTGGGAAATTCCTCTCTCCTAATATCAGCATCAGAGGTGTTTTCACTTGGCTCAGATCAGTAGTTTTTTATCTTCAGAAGATGGTTTAGTTTTAATTACTTTTTTTAAAATCTGGCTTGCCAAAAATTGTTAGTGCTTTCTTAGGCTGTCAATTTTGAAAGAACTGATGTTTGAGTTTGTAGTATTCCCAAAGAAACAAGGTTTATGCAGTAACCCACGTTGTCAGGCTGACTCCACTACTGCCTTAGTCCATTGGCCAATTCCAGTCACGCTGTGAAGGTGTAGAGTGACAATATTCCATGTGGAGCTCAAAATCTGTAAAAAATTGGTTGTGAGGGATTCCCAGTTGCAGTGTTCATGGAAGGGAGAATGGTTATTCCTCAGCAGCTTGTCCTGAGAAGCAGCTGCCAGCAGGACAGTCAGTGTGTGAGCACGGACTGACCTGACACAGACGTGTAGCTCTCAACCACCCAGAGCACATGTTGCCACATACACAGACAAAGAGATGAGTAGGGGTATTGGTATTATGAGAGCAGAAATAAAACAGAAGCATCTGCCAGCAGAAACTCCTTTTCACCAAGGTTTAACCATATTTGCGTGGCAGAATTAAGGTCCAGAAAATTCTGGTATACTGTGAAGAGCAAAACTAACGGAAAAATAGTTTGGGGTTTTTAAGGGTAATTAAAATTTAAAGTCACAAGTTTTGGTGTAGCGCACATAATTTTTCAGTTCTGAAGCTTCCCCAGCATACTGGGATTGTTCTTTTCAGCTTGCCAAGCAGAGGTGGCCTCAAGTTGAAATTTTGCACCATATTGTACTTGTTAAAAAAGCAACTTCTTATGTCTTTGATGCAGCCAAGCCAAAGAATTCAGAAGAAGTCTCTGCAAACTCTTCCCACAAGTCTAGCCTATCTGCAAAAAAATGTGATCCGAAGCACAAAGACTGCTTGCTGCGAGAGTTCAGGAAGCTCTGTGCCATGGTTGCTGAAAAGCCTAGCTATAACGTGAAAACACAGATCATCCAGGATTTTCTGAAGAAGGGATCTGGAGGAGGTATGATTCCTGTTTGGCGTTCTCAGCATGTGAAAGTCTTCTCAAAATCAACTTCAAAGTGTTATTTCTAAAGCAAGGGTGAAATAAAATCTGATTGCTGTGTAGCCTAAGCTCTGTGCTGTGATGATTTCTGAACTATGGAGATAATGTTTGCAAAGCGAACTGTTTATCTAAATAACAAATTCAGATAAGAATGTCTTAGGCTAGGATGGTGGGGAATGTTTGTAGGTGCCGCCAAACTTAGTGGTGTGATCAGATTTGGAGGGCAATTGTGGATGTTTCCCCTGAAAAATCTTGTTCCATGTGAAGCAGAACAGCATGGTGGAAAGAGGAAGCCCCATCTGCGGGATTTTTTTTCCCAGGATCATGCTAATGAGCACAAACAACCAGAGCCTGTATGTGAAAATAAATTGTGACAGCTTCTAATGGTCTGTGCGTTTTTTTCCAGATGGTTTTCATGGTGACGTATACCTGACCATTAAGCTGCTGTTACCAGGCGTCATTAAAATTGTTTACAACTTGAATGATAAGCAGATTGTAAAGCTATTTAGTAGGATTTTTAACTGCAGCCAAGAAGAAATGATCCGGGACCTGGAACAGGTGAGTACAGACAGCAGTTCTCTTAATTTGTTCGGTCCCTTGGTATGGAAATTCTTTTTTTTTTTTTTTTTTTTTTTTAAATCCTATTTGAAAGCATTTGAACTCATCTGCAAAACTTTAGAAAGCAAGACTAAAATATCCAGGCAAGTTGGGCTGCATCACCTTTGTCTAAACTGCTTTTTCTAGTGTATTCCTATGTAGCTGATTTATATTCCTTTTTTGTAACATCGCATATCAAAAACTGTGATTCAGTTAACGGGTCTGTTACTGTGGGCTTAAGTTGGTTCATACAATTAAACTACACTCATACAAATTGCAAGTGCTCACATATGTGCATCTAATTTCTGTGCATAGGAGTTGATGATTGACTACGTGTCATTCTGATTCAGTGCAAGATGGAGAAAATGGGTTAATTAGATAATGAAGCTAATTCTTTCACCTCTGTTTATTGCCTTGGTACATACTGCCTTCTAGTGACATCACTAGACTGTTTGACATCCTTGGATTTACAAGTGGATTCATCCTGAGGAGCTAAAGGGTCTGTGATGCCACAGCAGTGAAAAATAGAGCAATGAGATGATACTAGTAGTCTTACCTTTTTTTGCAAATGAAACAGCTGAAAATATTTATTCTGTGTCATGGCAGCTTTTTCCAACGTTTGGTTCCAATTTCTTCATGCAATCCCAGCATCATTTTTGTTCCCTCCTTTTTGGAACCACATTGAATCTCCAGTGGCATCTTGCCCATTTTCTAGCCACAGCTCTGATCCATACCCCTATTTTGTTTTTGGAGACAGGGAGATGTTTCCGAGACCATACGTCTCTTCTTTGAACAGAGCAAGTCTTGTCCTCCAGCAGCCAAAAGTTTCCTGACCATCCAAGAGGTAGATGAATTCCTAATCCAGCTATCAAAACTTACTAAGGAGGATGACCAGCAAAGTGTGCTGCAACATATCACTCGCAGGTAAGGAAAGTAATCGGCCTCTGAAGGTTTGCCCTAGAACTAGGAGTGGTTATCTACATATCACAGGCTGGCACAGGTGAAACACTAATCATAAGCCACAGAGGCTAACTTAACATCCGTAAGCCACTATTAGGGGTTTGATTAAGACACCTTGACTGCTGACCAGCAATGGAGAACATGTGTGGCTCCTGTTCATGCCAGAGAATTTCATCCTTGCCTGTCAAGACACTGTTCAATCAGTACTAAACAAGTGGCTTGCAGAACCACCTTGATGGTATTTAGTTGTTCATTCCTAGTTGTGTTGGGAAAAGCCTTCAAGCTGTTTAGAAATGTTGAAGATTCTTGGTCTGGGTCAGTTTGGGTTGATCTAAGGCTGAGGATGTTATTATCATTTACTCTTGACATATTAAGTGAATTTTGGAGCGTATGTCAACAGAGGCAGAATTAATATTGGCATTCAAACAAAGATGCTAAAAAGCCTTTTGGATATTCTCTTGTGCCTCTGTGATGTCACTAGTAACATTCTCATTCGAGTTTAAACCCTACAGAAGCGGGGGAGGACCTTTTTTTACAGAAGCCTCGATCAGTTTCTTTTTTTCAGTTGGAATGTAGTTCAGTTAAATGTCTACCATATCTGAATCTTCTCTCGCACTTCAGATGTACAGGGAACGACCTGAAATGCATCATCAGGCTAATTAAGCATGACTTGAAAATGAACGCTGGAGCAAAGCACGTGTAAGTCTTACTTTTCATTGTGAGATAAAACCAGAAGTAGGCATTAGCCTCGTGAGCCAGGAGCAGCAGACCTGAGGTTGATCCATGTTTCCCTCTCTCCTCAATTTATTAAAGGTTGGATGCTTTGGATCCCAATGCTTATGAGGCGTTCAAAGCATCACGCAACCTCCAGGATGTGGTAGAGCGAGTCCTGAAGAACCAGCAGGAGGCTGAGAAGATGCCAGGTCTGAAGCGAACCCTCAGTGTGCAGGCCTCTCTGATGACCCCGGTTCAGCCCATGCTGGTAATGTTGGCTCCCCTGCAATGGTAACCTTCAGCCGAGCAAGAGATGGACTCATATGTACTGTCAGAGACCCTCCCCTTTAAGAATCAGTAGACGGATCAGTGACTGCATGTAGTATGAGCTAATAGAGTATGCCGTGCTGATTTTTGTTTAATGCCATTTTATAAAGTGGGTTCTACCAAGAAGACAGTATTCAATGTACTCAGCTTCAGTAACACTGCAGAAGCTAAAATCTTAACTTGCTTTTTGTCCAGAAGTGACTTTCTTTTTTGTTTGTTTGTTTGCTGTCATTCCAGAAATTGATCCTTTGTCTGGAAATAGCGTAAGCTTTTCATTGGATTAGAGATTCAAATAAGTTTGTTTTTTTGTTTGAACAAATCAGAGTTAAATATTTACTTCTGGGTTAAGCGCACTCCTACAAAAGGCACAGTACATACACCTTTAAGTATTTGGAGGAGATAAACACTGACAAGCTATAATTATCTGGGCATATGCAGATGATTCTAAGTAAATGACTAATTAAGAAAAAGTAAATTTGGACTGCATATTAGAGACCCTGGGCAGAAATATCTACAAAGGAATTGGTAGTCCATTCATGAAATTAGGTAAGAATAGCTTTTTTTGAAATACATCAGCTGAGTTTGTTTGGAACTTCTCTCTCCACCTTTCTAAGGCTGAAGCCTGCAAGTCAATTGAATATGCCATGAAGAAGTGCCCAAATGGCATGTATGCAGAAATCAAATATGATGGCGAGCGGGTGCAGGTCCATAAAAATGGAGATCATTTCAGCTACTTCAGCAGAAGCCTCAAACCTGTCCTCCCTCACAAAGTAAGTACCTATAAACTGTCAATTCTGCTGTGCCAGTGTTTGCCTTCCTCCTCTATAAACACGACTGAATTTCACAACAGTTTCTATAGGCAGGGAGGATACCTTCTGTTGACTTTATTGTCTGATTTATGTAGATAATCGGAATCTGGAAAAGCAACACTTCATAGAATTGTAATCAATTCGTTCCGGTGGACATTAGGAGCTTGAAACTACAGTTAACCTATCTGCCTTAGAGTCCTCTTTACACACTGCATTTGAGGAGGCTTGATGCCAGTTGGGTGACTTGGTTATATTTGTCCAAGGCTCATTTTTCTATTTGTCCAAGGCTCATTTTTCTATTTGTACAAGGCTCATTTTTCTGTTTGTAGACTGTGCTGTCTATACCACAGTAGAAAATAAAGCTAGTGCAGATATGCCTACACGTGCCTCAGACATGCTTCTGGAGAAAACATCTGCATTGGAGTGAGTTCCTCTCTTCAGCCAGTAGACATATATTTTTCTTTTCTTTTTTTCCCCAAGGTAGCCCATTTTAAGGACTTCATCCCCCAGGCTTTCCCTGGTGGGCAGAGTATGATCCTGGATTCAGAAGTTCTTCTGATTGATAACAAAACTGGCAAGCCACTTCCTTTTGGGACTCTTGGTGTGCACAAGGTGAAAAAAAAAAAAAAAATCCTTTGTTGTGGTTGGAGTCTGTTATTATGCTGACTTAAATGCACTAGCATGTGATCCATTACCACAGGATAACTTAGGAGATGTGGTGCTTACTAGAGCATTTGGGGAAAAAATAAGATCCCTCAGAAGGCTGATATTAATGAAAAGGTACTGCTCTAATACAATAGATTTTATAATAAGCTGATGACTGGTAGGACAGTAAGAAAACTTCAGCTCATAAATATTAAAAAACTCTTGGAAAATCTTGCAATTCTGTCTTTGCTTATCATTGCTTGTAGCAGTGAATGGCAGACTGAAAGACCAGAATGATGCAGAGTATCTAGTCCATATGAAAATTATGTACTGCTTATGTCAAAATGGTGGTGAGGAAGAGGCCAGTAAAATGAAAATTAAATTGTAAGTGCTTTAACTTAAAGTAGCCATTAATCTGAAGTCTCTGGAATGCTTATTGTTTTTTTGTTGCAGCAGTAGTGACGGATGTTACATTGCCCACAGTCGTTAATATTTGTGGCATTATTTCCCTGCCACCAGGAAATTAGCATGTTTTGTTTTCTTCGTTTGTGCTTTGACACATTCAGTCTAAACCTTAATTCTCGGAATACTTCTGTCTTTTAGAAGAGGCCTAAGCTTATTATAACTAAAAGATTACAGAGATAAAAATACATCCCTTTGTTTCTGTTATTTTTCTGAAGCTACATGTTGCTGCTTGCTATGACAGCAGTTTTCTTTTAATTGATTTTATTTGTGTTTTAGAAAGCTGCTTTCCAAGATGCCAATGTTTGCTTGTTTGTGTTTGACTGCATCTATTTCAATGACATCAGCCTGATGGACAGGTAGGTATCTGGCACAGTGTCAGAGTAGCCTGACAGGTTTTCCAGTATGAACTTTCTGGAATACACTGCCACTGCAGAGGGAGCAGTTCACATTGGCTGTTAAGACTGGCCATTTACCCCTGTAAAATCAAGACATCATGGGAGGATCCTTGCTGTCCTAAGGAGCTCCATCTTGCTCTGCAGTTCCAAAATACCAGGATTAACTGCATTTCAGTTGAACTCAAGTGTGGTTCAGTACCCAGCTCATCTTACGTCCTCTGAAACTAAATGCACTTGTAACACAAAACTTCTGGTTTATAACTTCCTGGAGGAAATAAGAATTGATTGTCCTCTCTGGAACTCTGTAGGATGAATCATTTAATTTTTTAAATACATTTTCTCTAAGTTCATATGACTGGTACTTTGTGTTGAAATTGCTTGCTTGTCCTTAATTATCCATACCCTGGTTTAGGCCTTTGTGTGAACGTCGTAAGTTTCTCCACGATAACATGGTTGAAATCCCCAACCGGATCCTCTTCTCGGAGATGAAGCATGTCACAGTGAGTTCAATGTTGAAATAGCATGTGTGATGATCTCACAGGTTGTGCTCTGGACACTTCATTGCTCCTTTACCACACATCCTTTTTTATGATTAAGGCTGTAAATCCAGCAATTCCCTGCCTGTCAAAATGGTTCTACTTCTGGTCTGTGTGCAAGACTTCTTGAGCTAGCGTTGTGCAAGAGGGCCGTGCCTGTGCTTCCATCTTGTCTCAGCTACAACCACTTCAGAGTAGTCTTAAGTTGCACATCTCTGGGGTTTTTTTGGCTTAATGATTTTGTAGCCATTGTAACATTGACATTGTTAGGAGGAGCTAAAGCCTGTTGTAACTTAGTCTGTACTGTGCAATGCTGAGCTGTGCAGAGAAGGCTGAAGTATGACTGAAGGGAGCTAGACTGCTTCCAGTTCCCGAACTGGCAACTTCAAGTGCTGCGCAGCCCAGATACATCCCGAGTGCTAAAAACTGCATTTGGACAGCAGCATGCTCAGTTTTTCCTTTGATTGTTATGCACAAGCCCTATGTCCTGTTATTTTTCCCCACTGCTACTGATTTCTGTAGCACCTCGGGTTTGGTGGAGAATGCTGGGACATTTGGGGCAGAGAAAGCATTTTGGGAAGAAGAAAAGAGCATAGGTCTTAAGGCAGTTGGATAGAGAAGTAAGCAGGCACGGCTGACTAAGGAAAATGTGATCCTGTATGTATGGGATATACTCAGGACACAATCAGCGTGGCTACCTCATCTCCGAGGAGTATTTTTTAACTAAGGAACCCTTCTCTTCTTGGGACATATTCCCAGCTTAGTCACTGGATGTGCAGCAAAGAGAACATGTATGGGACTCTCCTTGGGAAACTATTTTATGAAATTACCCGTTCATCTCCCTGCGGTTACTTTGGTTTTAGTGCACCACTGCTCCAAATAGAAAGCCTGAAGACCACAGCCCTTTGACAGTCTTGAGCTAACCACAATTCCTTTCCTTTTCAGAAAGCTTCAGATCTGGCAGATATGATCACCCGAGTCATCCGTGAGGGACTGGAAGGACTGGTGTTGAAAAACATAAAGGCACGTTCACATTTACTTTTCACTGGTGTATGCTGGGAATTGGGGAATAACAACAGACAGAGGTCTGTGGATGAAGGACACAAGGCTGAGCATCCCTGAAACATCTCTAGGTTCTTGTTGACGCTGACATCCAGTCCCAGTTGCTCCGTATATATCCGAGCACCGCTGTGCTCTTGTACCGTGAAGCTGGATAAAAGAAAGGGGTATTTGAGGATACAGCTGTCTACCAGATGATCTTTCTGACTGGGGTTCTTGCCTTGTTTTGCACAGGGTAGTTATGAACCAGGAAAACGACACTGGCTGAAAGTGAAAAAGGACTACCTAAATGAGGGTGCAATGGCTGACACAGCAGACCTGGTGGTGCTGGGAGCTTTCTATGGACAAGGCAGTAAAGGTAAGTGTCTGGAGTTGGCTTAAGTCAGAGATCTGTCAGTTCAGAAAACTCTCAAGTTTTTTCCTGTTCCAGGCCTCCTGTAGTATTTAGTTTCCTACCAGAATGAGACTGGCTGTAGCAGCCAGTGACTGCTGCAGCCCATCACATGCCAGGCTATGAGTTTACTGTGGGTTAGTTGGCAGAGCAAAGCCTTAGGTCTTGGGCTGGGCTCTTGTGCAGTGTAGAGGCTCTCTATTTAGCTTTGTACATGGGAGCTGATGCTCTGAAGCCATCACAAGCCCAAGGCCCTTTGACTCCTGAAGATGGAAAAGGGTTTTGGTTCATTACTTAGCTTTTTGAAAAGCTGTGGCTTGTCCTGTAGATGATGTGAACCACCCTGCTCTCCCCTCCTGCAGGTGGGATGATGTCCATCTTCCTCATGGGCTGCTATGATCCCAAGAGCGAGAAGTGGTGCACTGTGACCAAGTGTTCCGGTGGCCATGATGATGCCACCTTGGCGCGCCTGCAAACAGAGCTGGATATGGTGAAGATCAGCAAGGTGAGGGGGGTTCTGGCATGGAGGCGATCAAAGGAATGCTCAGCAAAGGGCTTGGTAGAAGCCTTCT